AGTGCCCCTGGGTTCAATCTCTGGTACCCCCCACCCCTGCAAAAAACTATCCTTTGTCCACTGCTTCCTAGTACCTTCCCCCGCAAAAAATGGTCCTTTGTCCATTGCTTCCTAGTACCTTCTCTATCACATATCAAGCATGAGTTAACAAATTTTGTATTTCTGGGCTCTATTTTCTGTGGTGGTTTTTATGTGTACCTTTAGCCATAAACATGTTAATTTAGTTATTATGCAACTAACATAGCCTAGATGTTTGCTAAGGCATATCTTTGTATCTTGTAATTTAACAAGAGTCTCTGTAAATTTTATTGGGCATTTATCTTTTTTAACAATTTAAAATTAGCATTTGACTTTCCAAAAAATATTCTAAAATTTGCATTGTATTTATCAGGATTGGATTGTATATATTTGAGAAAAATTAACAACTTTACAATACTGAACTTTTTCAAATCATATTAATGATTTGTTCACTAATGTGTTTCTTTAAAAAGTCTCTCCATGGGGATTATTAAGTCATAGAAGTCTAGAAATTCATTTTTCAAATATATTTTAAAAGTGAAAGAAGAGTTGTAGAATTTCCAGATTAAGGGTTTTAAAAGAGAAAATTGCAACACATACATTTAACTCTTAATTTTCATTATCACTTAATTTTCATTATTATCTGGTACTTTATATGATATTATTAGTTTTATTATTAATCTTTGTTTTTGTATAAAGAATTCAGTTGATATATTAATATGTATTTGGAATTCAGAAATTTAGTTTAATTTTAACTTGAATAACTTACCTGGATATTGTTTTGGACTTTACAATTTGAAAATTAATGAAGTTCATATCTTTCTAAAATATAATCTTTTGGGCACATTAGCATGGGTCTATCTCTTGATTCTCTATTTCATTGATTGATACACCTCCCCTGCCCTGTACCTTACAGCAATGATTACTATAGCTATAAGTCTTGAAATCAAGCAGATTGAGTTCTCTCATGTCAGTTTTTCTTAAATTATTTCAGCTATTATAGTTCTATGTATATATTTAATAATATATTTATGTATATGCATATATTTCAAGAAATCTTTTATATATTTACAAAAATCATCAGTGTTAGTAATGGTGTTTATTAAACATTAATCAGTTTGGGAAGAATTATCATTTTTACTATATTGAGACTTCCAATCTAATGCTGTGCTATATTTCTACATATTTATATTTCTGATTTTAGCTTACAAGCCCTGAGAATACTTTTCACATATATATGTAAAAATATATATGTGTAAATGTAATATTTTTCATTTTGTAGTAAATGAATTACACTCAATTTTTAGTGTCCATATATTCATTCTTGTATATAGAGATAGATTTTCCTTTTATGCATGAAAATATATGTTGAAGACTTGATAAATCATATATTAGCTATAAATTTTTAATTTTTTTCTTTTATAAACCCCTTGGGGTTTTCAATTTAAACCATTATTTAGTTTTAAAATAGGGTTAAATTGATTTTTTCTTCCCATTCTATATGTTTTTTTATTTCTTATCCTTCCTTTATTGCATGGACTATAACTTTCAGACATATATTGAGTTTGACTGATGACGTCCTTGTTTACTGATTTTTGGTGGAAATAATTTCATTTCATCACTTTAAATACAATGTTGGTTATAGATTTTGTGTAAGTCTGCTTTATAATTTTAAGAAAGTCCCTTCTATTCCTATTTTTTCTCAAACTTTTTTATCAAGAGTACTATTTTTTCAAATAAATTTCATATTCACTTCTATGATCATGTGATTTCTTCTTTACATAATAGGGTGGGCTGGATTATTGAAGCAATCTTGCATTCCTGGAATTAATTCTACTTGGTAATGGTGTATAATTATGGTATCAATAGTGCATAATTTATATATTGTTGAATTTTGCTTGCTAATATTTTGTTAAAGATTTATATCTATATTTATGAGGAATATCAATATGCAGCTTGCTTTATTTTGTATTGCCTTGGCTGATTTTATGTCAGGGTAATTCTAATCTCACTGCATTGGGAAATGTTCCATCCTTTCTATTTCAGGAAGTGATTGTATAGAATTGGTGCTAATTCTTACTTTAACATTTGGAATCTATAAATGTTTTCTTATAAAGCAGAAAAAAACAGAGATGAAAGAGAGGGAGGGATGGGGAAAATAGTGAGATTTAAGGGAAGGTTCTTCCAAGTCTTAGAGTGTCTAATGTGCTATGAATATGGAAAATATTGAAATTGGAAAATTATTATTTTGCAAGCATGATGTTGTTGATGGATGTTCAATATAAGGAAAAACTGTAATGCGGTACAAGATATTTATTTAAGTGTTTTTCCTATCACTTAGTAGTTGAAAGGAAAGAAAACACTACAGAGTATAAAAATAGGAAAAAAATCATGATTGGGCTATCAAAATTTACACAACCAACAAAGGGTAGGTGGATCTTTTGTAGCTTCAAAAACAATATACTTAAAAGAATACTATACCTATTTTTCAACATTCCATCCAAGATTATAGCCCGAATGTAATTGATAAGAAACATGTTATAAATACAAAATTGGAAATATTCTATTAAGAAAGAGGGAAATTTATTCTTCAAATATATTTTAAAAGTGAAAGAAGAGTTGTAGAATTTCCAGATTAAGGGTTTTTAAAGAGAAAATTGCAACACAACTAGTTATCACATATCTTAATTGCCTTTAATTATGATTCTAGAAAGGATGGCAGTCCAGACTAAAAATGGTTGAAAAAGCTCCACCCCCACCCCATAGACAAGTTGTGTTTAGGATCAGAAAATAAAAGGAAAAAAAAGGAAGTGATGTGCAGAAAACAGAAGTGAGGTAAGAAAGTGTGATTGACTATAATTTATATCTGTCTTACTTAAACATGGTTTGAACAGTTGGCTGGCTGCTTATAATTGTCAGAATCTCAGCTACTTGTTACAAGAGTATGCTACAGTCGTTTGTACATCATGTAAGGTTATAGCTACTGTGTATACAGAAACTTTTAATTTATATCTATAATATATATGAAGGCAGTTTAGGCTAAACTTAACACAGATCTAGAAGACACGACAACTAAATGCTATACCTGATCCTAGGCTGGGCACTCTCCCAGAGAAAGAATGCTGCAAAGGACATTACTGAAGTGACAAATTGAAAATTTTAGTTTAAACTTAGATGAATGCTACAGTTATTGAAGTTGGTTCGAGACAAGGGTAGACTAACTCCACTCTATATGAAATATACACTGAAATAATTAATAAAGAGTCATGATATATTTACATTAACTCAAATGGCTCAGCTATCTCTTCCTCCCCTCTCTCATTTTGCTTACTAATATTTTGTTAAAGATTTACATCTATATTTATGAGGAATATTAATATGCAGCTTGCTTTATTTTGTATTGCCTTTGCTGATTTTATGTCAGGGTAATTCCAAGAAAGAGAGAGAGAGAGAGAGAGAGAGAGAGAGAGAGAGAGAGAGAGCGAGCACGATAAAGCAGATGAAGTAAACATTAATAATTAACAAATCTGAGTAAAGTCTATACAATTGTTTTTGCATTCTTCCTTCAATCTTTTTTGTATTTTTGAAGTTATTCCCAAATATGAAGTTTTAAAGATTATCTAGTTATCAAGTTCCCTGAGCTAATAAAAGTGAGCTCTTGAAGGACTGCTGATGACTTTCAAAACAGGATAATAACATTATGTATCTCAGGATGTTGAAGGATCAAAAATATCAACATTTTCAGGATTCCTGTAACAGTGCCCAGAGAGTAGGGAACACTCAGTGAATGCTGCTTTCTTGTGTGTGTTGCTGTGGTGGTGGAAATTCCTATTATTATTACTGTTACCAAGCTCAGGTGTCAAAGGGACTCCATGATAGAGTTCACACCAAACATCAGCTACCTTGATTTCCACATTTGTTTTTTTTTTTTTTTTCATCTGCATTGAATCTCTTCTTTTGAGGTTGGTCTATATTGTGACTGTCAGACCGTAATTCTAGGGGAAAATATTTAGCCTTAGTTTTCCAATCCTTTGCAGTGATAGAAAATGTTAACTAGGTATATACTGAATGTCAAGTTCTCCCTTGTTTTTCAGATAGGTCAGTTCTAGACTCTGACATCGAAAGGATTGTCAGAGTGTTCAGTAGTGAAACTTTCTAACATCACTTAGGGAATTTGAAAAGGCTTGAGTTTCATAGCATAGTGTGCATGTCTTGTGGCGATTTAATCTCAAATTGTCACAGTTATTGTTAACTATTTGTAGTTTATAAATGTGTGCATGAACATTTTAAATGCCTAGTTTATCATATAAATCACCTTCATTTTACTGATGAAATACATGAAGTTCAACAGGTTTGCTTGACTTGCTCAATATCATGTTGCTAAATTATAGTGGTTCTTCTTAGAAGAAATTCTTATTATTAACACATTGCTTAGCACAGGGCTCTCCCCTTAATTTTCATTCAATAAATGCTCTAAGAAAACTGAGGTTGAATTTGAACCCAGATGCTGCCTCTAGACCCAAGCATTTTCACTGTAATGTTCAGTAACTAGTTTAAAAAATAGTTTATTACTTTTAACCATTATAGTCTGATTGCTAAAATTTAAATCAGTATCTACAGATCCCTGTGGAATACATGTTTTATACTGGCTTCTAGGTAAGACCCTATCATGCACAAACACTCTGAAAAGTTTTAACTTGGAGGCTCATCAATTAGACTTCATGCTGAAGACATAGGAGATTAAAAGAAAAAAAAATTCATTTTTGGTTTTAGGGGTTTGATTGGGGTTTTTTTTTTAAATTTTGTTGCTTATGGGGAAATAATCACTTGTCTCTATCTAAAGCTGATCCCGTCTCCTTTATTTGATTGATTGTTGAATCTATTGATGAGTGAGCTGTTCCGCCAGAATCCCAGCAGCAAGGTCAGTGGATTGTGATTCCTGAGCCCTAAGGCTGGGGTCTTTGTGGAGGAGCCTCCTCCCTGCATGAGCATTTTGAGTATGCAGAACACATCAGCTCAGCCTGAAGCCGGCAGTTAGTGCGCGCACCACACACACACACACACACACACACACACACACACACACACAGGCGCTTTCCCTTCAAGTGAGGCTTAGCAACTGCAGTCCCAGCCTCTTAGGCTGAGGTACCAGCAGCCACATCCTGATTTGTTGGTGGAGCGCGGGAGTCCAGTTTCAGAGACACCGGGTAAGACGCAGCTGTCACAGCTAGTGGCAGACAGCCACTTCTTTCCAGCTGCTTCCCCAGCCCTGGCAAGAGGGCACCCTCTTCCAAAAGCCAGTCTGCCAGGGAGGAGGTTATTCCGTGCTCAAGGTAAGACTGCTTTATACTTCCTTTCTTTCTTTACGTGCCAGCTACTTCGCCATCCACTTTCAGGTAGGCTCTTGAAATTTCTTATCAGTGTACTGTAATCACAGCATTTACTTTGACTGAGAAAGTCATTTTACCAAAGCAGACAGAATAGTTAAGTGCTTGATAGTTCAGCAGTGATTTTTTTCTGATTAAAGTTTTTGTGCAGCTGGTGACTCCACTTCTCTCTCCCCACCCTTACAAATATTCTGCAAATATGAGCCTCAGCCTCATTTTGTGATTCATTGGCAACTTCATATTTAGCATAAGTGTGTGATTCTAACCTTTGAGTTAGATGACAATTGTTATGCAACTCTGCATGTGTAATTTAAAGACCTTTAAATATTCTCTCCTTCTGCTGGGAAAAACATACATCAGTCTTCTAAAATAAAAGCCAACTGGTGGGAGCTATGGATTCAAACTCTTCAGCATTTAACATTCAGTGGTATAGGCAGGAGTGAAAGTTGCTGAATCACAGAAGTTTAATATTCATGCAAATTACTGTATTTGTCAGAGAAAGCCTGGAATCAAATATCTTTTCATCTATTTGAGCAGTTATATAGATCTCAATGATGTGGATTTGAAGAAGGGAAGTTTGGGGTTGATATAAGTAGTCTGTTTTGGTAAGGTGGGAAAACTGATTATTTGACATGATAAAGACTTAAATGGAGGATATTTTTTCTGCCCAAATGAACTAGAGCTAAGGTCCTGTTTCGAGATCTTTTAGTTTCTTTCTCCAAACAAAACTGTAGTTTGTTGGTCTGAGTTTCTTTGCCTTACTGATATTAATCTTATTAGTGTTATTGCCCCTAACATTCCTTGACTGTACATGTTTTCTAAGAAAAACTTCTAAGAAAAATTGATAGAGAAAATTAGAACTTTTAACATTCCTCCTCCTTAATATTATTTTAATTATTTCATGTATATCATCTCACAAAAAAAAAATTGTGAGACACTAATTACCATGATTTAACTAATCAAATCGAAGTGATCATAAAGAAAATGTTTTCAAGACATCAGTCCTGTATGCAAGTCCGGATTGTGGCAACTCCAAGTTATCACTGAGCCCAGGAGAGAGGATGTAAATGGAGTTTGTGGTAAACAGACAATTAATCAGAGACAAAGTTTGTATTTTTGTGACTCATTTTATAAGCATCACTTTATACGTTATGATGTTACTGTGTCTTTTCATTACTCTTGTGGGAAATGCCTCCAAACCATGATAAGAATTCTCTCTATGAGGATGCCTGCGTTCTCATGTGGGATCCCAGCACACAACTTCAGTAGATCTAACTTTATGCCTGAAATTTGTGGCACCACTTGAGGTCAAGTACCTCCTCTGCTAACTCTAGGAACCCACCCTTGGAGCCCAAGGGGTTTTGTGAACCTGCCCTTCAGTGTGGTGTGGAGGAGGGAAGGGTTTCCAGTTATGTTCAATGCAGCAGATCCTTCAGCATCACTCAATGGAGACCCTCAATCTATAACTAGAGTTTAAGATTTGTTAAATGGTAAATGGAGGTACTGCCATTGGCTCCCAAAATATCTGCAGTTTCTACACTGGATATTCATAAGGTAATTTGACTCAATAGTTCCTATAGTCCTCTACATAATAACAAATACACTAAGGGAGCACAGCTTTATGTTTTCTTACTTCACGTTTTGATTCACACGGAACCTTAAATAGACCTGCTCACATAGCTTTCCCATGGTAACTGATGGTATGGTATTGACGCTGCTCCTAGAAAAATCAGGAGATCAGAAGTGGCAAGGGAGATATGGCACACATAAGTTTTTTGTTGTTGTTGTTGTTGTTGTTGTTGTTGGATGGGCTAAATTTGAAATGGAAACTTGGAAAGAGAGAAGATACCTTCTTTTTGGTTTTCTTTTGGCCAAATATAGCCAACTCAGTCAGCAACCTAAGAGATCCAAAGATGTGATTTTTTAACCAGGCCCTCTGTGGAGATGAAATGTAATTTACTTCAGTTGTTGAGTTAGCTTTTGTGCCAGCTATCTCACAATCCATTTACAGGTAGGCTCTTGCAATTTCTTACAAGGTCTCAGTCACTCACCCTTCTCTCTAATGTAGATTTGTGAGGCAGGTTAAAGAGTTAGCCAGTTGCTTGCACATTATGGATCACCATTCTGAGCTGTCTTTGCTGAGAGGGAATCAATTTCATTTTGTT